TTAATATATACAATTTAGCTTTTGTATTGTTTATATTAATAAAGCCAGTTTGCTAAAAAATGTACCTAAAAATTTCATTTTTTACTATTAGATTGATCACCTTCAGGAACAACAGGGTCACGTTTAACATATTGACTTGTTGACATTGGTTCTAAAGCAGTTTGTGCTCGTCCCATAAATTCAACTCCCATAACAATCTTAGAACTTGGCATTCCGGCATTCATCCAATTTGAAATCGAGCTTTTGAAAGACACACGGTTAGTTGTTGTAGCAGGAATGTCAAAAGGTGCATTTGGTCCTGTAAATTGTACCCATCTCTCATTATTTCCATTAGAGACACTAACATCATATGCCTAAATAAATAAAAAAATATTAGATAACAGAAGGACATGTAAATTACGAATTTTGATTGGTTGTTATCTGTTATATTGCAGATCATTTCATTCAATATTGATTGGTTGACCAAAAATAAAAAACCGCGGTGCAAAACCTATTAAGAGTGTTCTCAAAGTAACTCCTTCAAGTAATCGAGATGTTAAGCATTGCTTGCTGAAATTTCATTGCGCAAAATGCGGATTTTAAAATTTCAGCCAATCAGAGTAACTCTATGAAAAAATGATCTGCACCTCCGTGTTCGATTCATTGAGTGAGATGTTTGGAACACTTTAAGTGTTTCCTTCGGACTTTCAAAGATTTCTATCTTTCTAGTTAAATTTTGTGATTGTGCCCGGATAGAAATCGCTTCTATACGATAAGTAATAACTTATCCGGACAACCCAAGTAATTAACAATGCCCAGATAAAGATTTTTCCAACGGGCACAATCCAATAATTAAAATTAACATATCTTACCATGATGTTAACCCAGTCCACTAATTTAGCAAATGGACTTACGTCACTTATTGTACCATTTGGGCCATCAAATGGGGAAGTTGATACAGCCAATGTGAGCAACTTGTCATTGCCTAATGCAGAACGCATTTCTGTTAGCAATGTCAAAAAATTGTTAGCATCATCCTTTTGATTTACTACATTGCATATCATTCCTTGTTTTCCTGGATATTCCCAGTCAATATCAACCTTTTAAAGTAATAAAATTTAAAAATAAATAAAAGTTTTTAACCCTGAATTAGCCAGAGAGACATCCAAAAGTTCTGGTCAAAACAATTCTATCATATCATGTGATCGTGCTACAGTATTTGCTGCGGCCAGTTCGTGTCACATTAACATGCTCTTAGAGGTTTCCATGACTAATTCGTGCTTAACCATAGAATTTAATTTAAAATTTTTACCCCATCTAAATTAAATTGATTTATCATGGTTACTGTAGCATTTATGAAATTATTACGTGATTCAGTGGTCGATGCCAATGTACTGAAGTATTGGCTTCCTGTCCATCCCCCGACTGAAAGTAAGACCTAAATAAAATTTTAAAGGACATATAAAATATTATCTTTTTATAGTGTGTTTTCTTTTTCTTTAGGATTTTAGAAGAAAATAATACCTTCACTTTAGCTACATGAGCATAAGTTACTAATGAGGTCAATACAATCTTTGTTTGTGCATCTAAAACCGGATTGAATTGATTATCGACGATCGCGAATGCTATAAAAATTCATATGATTTCAGACATGATATCCCATTCTATATATTACGGAAATAATTTTAGATATGTAGATATTACCAAAATTCACATGAGTTATTTTAGTCCACGGTAAATTATTTTCGGCTAAAAAGGAACGCTTCCAATAAGCATAATAAACAGCAATCACTTTATTACTATTATTACTATCTGTAGATATAGGAGATAATGGTGTCGGTATGGCACTTGAGACGGCACTTGAGATGGTATTTGAAGTGAAAGCTTTAATAGGAGCTGTATTAGTAGGATTGGAGGTCTGAGTTGATGATACCGTTGTTTGTGAATATACAAGCTGAGTAATATATATTAAAAATATAATTACAAAAGCTAAATTGGACAACATTATATCTGAAAGAATGAATAACAATATTTCAGCATTCACATTTGTTAATGAATAAGGATTATGTGTAAAGGTGAAGGGTGTTGGTATTATGTAAAGAGAGTGTAGGAACGTATTTATGTTTTTCTAATCATCATTTATGGTATGTTGTGATAATGTAATATACATTTTAGCTCAAATTGGAAATTTAATAATTTACACGCGATTTAAATTAGTGCAACATCTGATTAAAGTGTTTAACCTTGGTGTTACTTAAAGTCCCACAAAACAGACACCTTTTTTCAGTCGTAATAATGTAGGTCAGTAAATCAATTACAGTATATTACTTTGACGAGTTATAGATCTCAAAATAAACGAAGGTCTCGCTAGTGACGTTGGATGAAAAGGTTTCACGAACGACGTTGCAAGATGCTTCGCGAAAGAATGCCTTACGGCAAGTGTTGTATGTACAAAGACCTATGGGCAATGTTGTACGAACAGAGACCTTACAGAACATTTTCCAATCAGGTTCTATATTTCCTGTGATTCGCAAAAGTATTTTCAATAGATCTACATTATACTGGTAAATGCATTTTCGATATTAAAGATTGTCACAATCCTGGCAAGTTCTTAATATTGATCTTAGCTGCCAACACTAAAATTGCTACAGCAGATTCTCGATTTTGATTGTCTTAATTTAAATAAAATTATTTTTTATAGTTTGAACAAAAACATCTCGATAACCATCCCGTTTTTTTAGTCGAAATATATTTAGCATACTACAGTATTGTATTATTTTTTGCCAATATGTCAAAATCCTAAATTTGCCTAATTATTTGACTAAATAAAGATTAAGTGACTTAATACAGTATCTAAATATATACTTTATTAGATATATTTTATTAGATACGTAGCAAGATATTTTAAATATATATGATAATTATTTAATTATGTTATACAGTATACGTATCATACTATTTTTGAGACAGAATTATTATACAAACTCTAGAAATATAAGCATATTATTACTATATACCTAGCATTTTTTTTAGGAAATTGTTATTCATACCGTTATTTTTGTTATTCGTACCCTAAACTTAATCATCGCACGCTAGGGTGTGCAATGCTATAATACAAAATATATAGTTAGGGTAATGTGTCGATCATTATTTGCGGATTTCGCTTATG